TATCAAAAGATTCTTGCAGGAACTTCATTTGTATCTAGGGAATCATGACGCATAGTTGCTAGACGCCAATCTTGATTCGTTAGGTGATTAACTTGAAACGAGCTTCATCTTAATCATAACTCTAGGGACGAGTTTAAACCACAAAAGGGTTGTGGACCCACGGCTAGCTTACACCTGAACCATCGAGGGCCACATTGCTCGTGCACTCGAGTTCTTTGAATAAACGGTCAAAGATAAAACTATTTAATCTTTGCATGATTGGAAGTCAATGTGATTGAGTCCAACATTCGTAATTTGGAATTATGAATGAGAACAAGAAAAGGAAAAAAATAGGTGAACATCTAAGTGAAGTTTCTAAATTGGGAAGTTTCCAAATTTAGAAGGTCCACTGAAATAGGGTTTCTTATTTTGGAAATTGAAAATCGAGAATTGGCACTCGTAATGATGAGGACGTTTCAATGATTCCGAAAATGTAATCGTTATAATTTTCCGATCATTGAGTTGTGAGAAACGAGCGAGTAAAAGACTAACGAACTTAAGATGTTAAGCCCGGTCCAACTTAAGCTCGTTAGGTCTTTTATACAAGACACTATAAATACATAATTTATAGGTTTTGCACAATATACAACACACAAGAGAAAACCCTAGCCGCTCTCTCACAACCCTCGGCCGATTCTCCTCCTCCGCCGCTGCCGCCGTTGCCGTCGCTGGAATCGGCCTCACGCGCCGATTGTTATTGGTAGCTTCTTTCTTTTGTCTTTTTCTTCCATCTATTCTGACTTTTGCGTGTCTAGTGCCACATATTTAGTAGATCTCAGCATACGACGTGAAATCCGAGAGGAGGAAGACCAAGGAGTCGAATTGCCGATAAGCCATCACCGAAGCACTGCCGCACGCGCCGCCCGAAGACTGCGCGTAGATCTCACGCGCCGCCGTCGTTGAGCGCGTCCGTCGCCGCTGCACCGCCATTGCTCCTCCCGAATGCACAGATTGGTTTCCATGGCAGTTTGCTTCAATCCGAGAATTTGCCTCACGCTTCAAGAGGTAATTTTCGGATCCGGTTTTAATTAGGTATTAATTTAATTTGATTAAATTATATGTTAATATTCGCAGTATGAATTTTCGTGAATTGCTATATGTAATTGTTTGTATGAATTCATGATTTACCGCGAGCATGCTATGTGATTTATTATCGAATTAATTATACGCATGTTGTTCTTAATTTTCGCTGGAAGCGTTAAGATATGTAATTAGTTGCTTAATATGAATCGAGCATGTGTTTATGTGAATTAAATTATTTATTTCATGTAAAATTTTTGTTTTCCGCTGCGTACACGTGCCCGATTCCCAACAATGAGAAGATCGAAAGGAGAAGAGTTGCCACTTATATACACATATTTCCTACCTTGCACCAAAGAGCCCAACAATTGAAAGCCAAAAAGTCACAATGAGCCCTATAGCTCAATTGTTCGATATTAGCGGAGTAGAGAAATTCGGTGAGCCTTTTGAGTCTAAATTATTATGTAAGTATAAATTTTCTCTATTTTTAGATTACAAATATTGGATGCTTGAAGCGATAACATGATTTTTGGTTCTTGGCAAGGGTAAGCAATTAAGTTTCTTTGAATTTTAAGCTTGTGAATTTTCGAGAAGTGCCATGACAATTGCATGTTCTGAAAACGTGAAGTTGACCATATTAATCTATGTGATGAGATGCATTTATTGATTTCGTTGCTTTGCAAGTTGCTAGATATTGCTTGAGGACAAGCAAAAGTTCAAGTTTGGGGGTGCGTTGAGTGTAGATTCTATACTCAATATGTTTACTTTACGTTGATCTTTTGTTTAGATTTAATTATATTTGTGCTTTAATTGATTGATTTTGTGTTCTACAGGTGAAAAACGAGAATTAAGTGTCCATGAAGAACAATGATAAAAAGAAAGGGAAAAGTTGAAAATAAGGAAATAAATCAAATTGGAAGAAGGAATCCGCAACAGCTTTGGCAGTGTCCACCGTTTCAAGCATATTTCTCTCATACGAACTCCAAATCACCTGATTCACGCAACATTGGAAAGCTAATTTAAAGGGCTACAATTTGTATTTCACGCAACATTCCAAAATTCGGACTCAAACATGGTGAAAATCGGATTAGAAACCGACTAAAGTGCGGACAAAGCTTTGGACGGCCGGCTCAATTTTGTACTAAAAGCTGGGATGGCCACCCCCTCATGCGAAGTTGAGCAGTAGGCTACGAAAATTGAGACGACCATCCCAAAATGTCTTGAAATCTTAGACATCTATTCGAGGCCCCGATTCTGCACAATTTGGAAGTTTTAATTGCACAAGGAAGGTTTTTCCTTTTGATCAAGTCTTAACCACTATATAAACATAATTCAATGAGATCCAACGATGAAAAAATTTACACAACAAAACGCGAAGAACGAAGATCAAAGACTCAAGCATAGTTTTTTTTTGTTTTTTTTATTAATTTTATTTTCTTTATCATAAGAATTTCGAGTAGCTAAGTGTTTAGTTTCTAGGATTTTATTCGAACCCTATGTGGGATGTGAACCCAATTCTATGATTTTATGCAAGTATTAATTCCAGATTGTTTCTTCTACTTATTTTATTAAGTGCATGAACTTGATCACTTTATGTGCTTTATTGTTATTGTTGAATGCATGAAGATCGGTTTAACAATTAGAAATATAGTAGAAGAGCCTCTGTGGTGTTAGTATAGGAATATAGTTAACCTCTTAGGTAGCCATTATTGAGATTTGTGCTTAATGCTTTGTTCTTAATTGAATTGTGTAGGAATACACTAATTTAGTCTTGAATAATAGAATCGTAATACACGCGGAAGCGGATTATGATTAAATTAGCATCTCAGGTTAATAATCCATATTATTTTCTTACATAATTGATATAATTGGGAGATCAATAATCACATAGTGTGGAGATAAAATACTAGTGCTTTTTCAGTTGATAAATCTTCGTGCTATTTGTTTTCTTGTTTTTTCTTGTTTTTTATTTGTGTTTTATATTTTAGTTTATTTTATTTAATCTTCTCCAGATTCGACTGTGTAGGGTGGGTCTGAACATAATTGTGAGAATTTATCGCTTAAAATTAAAATAGTTACTGTTCGACTGTGTTGGGTGGTGAGCAGTGGCATAAGGCTCCGACTTGGGCTGAATTAAGTTGTGAGTTGGACGGATTGAGTTGAGCGATTTGTGGGTGGAGCCAGGCGGCGAAGGTAGGGCATGGAAGAAGAAGATGAAGATTTTTTTTTATTTTTTATAATTATTATTATATTTAACATATGTTTTATTTTTATTTTTTTATTATTAAGATATATGTGTATTGTCTTTAATAAATATATTTGTTTAAATATATTTTTTTTCTTTTTTTTTTTTTTTTTTTTTTAATTATTATTATTATTAAGATATATGTTTATTATTCTTTTTTGTTAAAACACTATTGCTTTTCTAATTGCAAAAAAAATATCTGGCTTTTTTTGTCTTTTGACCTTTGGTCAACAAACAAAATGTCAATAGGTGCAGTGTGCTTCAAAATAGGTTACACAGGGAGGTATGGGTGAGTTTTTTGTTCACAGGGGATTATTTGCCAATTCGCGATTTCACAGGGGTGGTATTTGCAATAAACTCTTCCTCATACGAAACAAAAATCTCAAAACCCCCAAAACGATAAAACAAAACCCTAATCTCGTGGCATCTTGCAACAAGAATAACATTTTGAAGGGCGACAATCACTTTTTAAAAAAATGAGGTAAAGTGCATAAAAATAGAAATGTATAGGGCGTGATGTTCAATTTGCCCAAAACTAAATTAGATAATAATAATAAGGGGAAATTTGCTAGACACCCCTTATTTTGGACTTATATATGTAGAGATCCTAGTTGCTTGATGAATATAGGCATAGGTCCTATGACTAAAAAAAATAATATAAATAAAATAAAATGATTAGTGTATAGACATAATCACCCTTATTTAATAAGAAAACAAATCTCATATATCTTCTCTCTCTAATCTCACGTTTCTGTCACCCTATATTTAATCTCTCATCTCTTTCTCTCCCTTTGTTTCTCACGCCTCTCTCCCTCTAGCGAGCTTCTCTGTTTTTTTTTTTTTCTTTACTTTTTTGGTTGATGTTTTTAATGATGCTGATTTTTTTTATTTTTTTTTTCAGTTTGTTGTTTGCATTTTGCCAAGTCATAGGTAGTTTATTGATAGCAATTCAATAATGCCAGCTTTGCTGAATGTTTTTCTTTCAGTCTGCTGTTTGCCTTTGGCGAAGTCATAAGTAATTTTTTGTTTGTAATTTAGTAATACAAATTATGGATTTTGTTGTTTATGTTTGTTGTTTGCATTTGGCGAAATAATAGGTATTTTGTTGTTTGCAATTCAATAATATAAAATCTAATTTTCAGTTTGCTATTTGCAGTTCGCGGAGTCATAGACGTCGCTGTTCCCGGATCATAGGCGGTGTTGGGGCTGCGGTGACGTTTTCAGAGTATGAGTTTGTAAAATAAATTATATATTTTTGTTATGAATTAATTTATTTGTTTTAGTTAATATTTGGAAGATAGATGTTTGAGAATTTGTTTTGATAGAGACATTTTTGTGGATTTGATTTGATTTAATTAAGGGTATTTTTGCCTTAATAAATATTATTAATTTATTAAAACATTAAATTTTGACTTGGATTTACGCACATAAATTATGATATAGAGGGACCTATAGCAAATTGCCCCTAATAATAAAGAAGAAAAGAAAATTGTGTTTAGGATTCCCTAATCAAAACCCTAGTCTGGTGGCTTTCCTCGTACGGCCGAACTCGTAAACAACATCCGCCGCCGCCGCCGCAAATGGAGACCGGCAAGGCTGAACAAATCACCGATAATATTCCCCAAGAAATCATCGAAGAAATCTTGTGCAGACTCCCGGTAAAATCTCTATCGAGATTCAAGTGTGTTTCCCCATCATGGCGTTCAATGATCTCCAGCAAACAATTCATCAAAACCCATCTCTAACGTTTGAAAAAGATCGAATCTTTCGCCGACCAAAGAATCATCTCAACCTGTCAAGGCAAACTAAAGGCATGTTCTCTGTCCTCTTTGTTGACCGAACCGGTCACTCGCGCCTTTCTTTCAATTTCTTTCCGATGTATAGTTCGAATGATATAGTTATCGTGGGTTCATGCAACGGTTTGATCTGCGTTCTAGTCGACGCATGTCGGTTTTTCTTGTTGAATCCTTCGACAAGAGAGTCCGAGGAATTGCCCGACTTCTTTACCGGAGCGATGTTCCCGAAGAATGTCGTTTCTATTCGTGGATACGGATTTGGTTTCGATGAGAGTAGCGGCGATTACAAGGTCTGCGCCGTTTGTTATATGATGTTAGTGTTTGGTTCAAACATGACTTTTCCGAGTACCGCAAGAGTGTATAGCTTAAAGGCCGATTCTTGGGGACGTAATTTGTTCTTTAAGGATGTGTGTATATTTGGTTCAGCCAAGTTTGTGAGTGGGAAGTTACACTCGATTAGTGATTTTAAAACGAAGTCGAAATGGGATGATGTTTGTTTCGATTTGAAGAGTGAGACTTTTGGAATCGTGAAACAAGCTAGTTGTATGAAGGGTTATTACTAATACGCGTAAAACCTACGTATGAAAAATCGCAAGTGTACAGTATCGCGTTTTGTAGAATAGTGAATTCCAGATATCGATCCACAGGGAATTAAGTTCCTAAATTTACCAAGTACCGTAATTATACTATCCTAAACTTTATCTAGACGATCATGAATGGAAGGGGGAAATAAAACTAAAAAGAAACAATAATAAAAACAACGGTCCGCCAGTAAAAGCGAGGAATTCCGACGTGTGATGGCTTCTAGGGTAAAATTCACCAATGTACTATCGATAAAGATCTACAAATCCGAATCTAATGTCAATTCTATATTCGCTAACCCAGACACTAAAATACCCTAACCCCCGTCTCCAGTGTAGTTAGAGTCTACCCACAGGTCCGACGTCTCCGTTCAGAAACCTGATATTAAGAGAGCATTTAGGTCAAGTCCTTAAGGGCTACCCGAGGTGCATCACGTCTCCGATTCCACAACCCGAGCTATGTTTTCCTAAAATCAAACGAGAAATCCTCTCTCGAGTTCATTCCCATTTAGAATCAATTCAACTGTTGGCCAATCAATCGAAAGCATTTAATACAGGAAAACATAAACATAATCAAAGAACGACAAATAGATCACAGATCTGGAAATCAAAATCAATATATACAAGGTTTCATTTCCCTAAAAGAAAATGCTCAGTTCATTACAAACATAGCATCAAAATGAAGAACACGAGAAATTATAAACTAAACGTAAAGAAAAGCTTATGAAAAACCCGAGTCAAAACCCTCGTCGAAGCTTCCCGCGAAGAACTGGCGAGAACCGAAGAGAAAACCGAAGAAGAAGTCGAGAGATTGTCGAGAGTTGGTCGAGATTTGGTCGAGATATCCTCGAGATCAATAAGGGACCTTCTATTTATAGTGAAATGCAAAGCTTCCTCAAGAAGATTTGCAAAACAAAATATCTTTCTCAAAAGGTGTGCCCAGATCGCGATCCGGGTTGTTTGGATCGCGATCTGGCAGCCTCGGGGAACTGCCCACCGCCATGCCAGATCGCGATCCAGGAATGTGTATCGCGATCTGGATGTTGACCCATTTCAGCTCTGTCGGACCCCCCAGATCGCGATCCGACTTCCTGGATCGCGATCTCGATCTTCAATCATTTCAGCTCTGTCGGACCCCCCCAGATCGCGATCCGGAATGCTGGATCGCGATCTGGGCTTCTGCGCCATCTTCAAACACTGTTTTGACCCTTTTTTAGCCCGAATTTGACAATTTTGCATTTCACAAAAGTTGTAGATATTGAAGTTAGCTTTCCAAGGCCACGTGAATCAGCTCAATCGGAGGTCGTATGCAAAATGTATGCTTGAAATAGAAACAGTGCCACACCCGCGATAATGCACTTTTGCACGTGTTTGGTTTGATTTTCGGCTTCGCTTCGAATCGGCAAAAATAGCTTCTCTTTACCTAAAATATAAATAAAACAAAAACAACATAATATATACAAATAAAGCCGAAAACTCGGACGAACGAAGACCAAAACTCGAAGAATTGATAAGCAAAAATCGTGCAAAACGAACAGTTATCAATTACAGCCCGAGATTGGGAGTTCTCAAAGGATATCTTTGTGTGTTTTCCGGCTATTCTCCAACTATTATGTTCGACGTCTGGATTTGGAATGAGTATGGGGTGGAAGATTCTAATTACGTAACCCCGTTGTTTGTTTTGCCATGTGGCGAAGTTCTGTTTACGTACGAATCGGATTTTTTTATTCACAATAAGAAAGACAATTACATCACGCAACAACACACCGTTGACTTTGACCGTGATCGTCACGGTAAAGCGGAGGTCTACACAGAAAGTTTAGTCTCACTTGCACTTGATGATTGATGGTGGTGAATATGCAAGGCAAACTTTTATGGTATGATTTGATTAAAAAAAAACCATAAAAGGAGTATAGGATTAAATTTTGTTTAATTTTCTTGTATTTTTCTTTTTCAAAATTCAAATCCATGCAAGTTACAAATAGGGAAAGTAGGTGACATGCATTATTCGAACCCTAGTCTTTTACTATAACAGTAAATGTTAGGTACAAACTCTTCATAATCGGATAATACTAAAATGGTCTGTGGTAATTTTAATGTAGTTCACTTTTGTTATTTTTCTTTTTCAAAATTCAAATCCATGCAAGTTACAAATAGGGAAAGTAGGTGACATGCATGATTCGAACCCTAGTCTTTTACTATAACAGTAAATGTTATGTACCAACTCTTCATAATCGGATAATACTAAGAATATGGTTGGTAGTAATTTTACTGTCGTTCACTTTTGTTATATTGTTTGATTTGTTGACAAGTCAACGTAATTATATTACTGTCGTTGACAGTAAAATAACTGTAAACACTTTATGTATTCAATATGCTCTTTGAGAACAATAAATAGATGATATTGTAATGGATTTAAGACACACTTGAGAATACAACAAATAATAAGAAGAAAAGTTTATATTCTCCTTATGTTTGATTTCCCATTTTATTGTTTTGCTTGAGTTTTTATAAGTAGATTTATAACATTTTATCAGCATGACTTGCTCTACCTCATTAGTCGGTATTTGCATAAAATTGAAAGTCTACATGCACTAGCAATGTTTGTTGGTTGAATAATTTGTATCAAATTCGGTTCTCATTCTTTTATTCGGATGTGCCTACATTTACGAGGAATATTAAAGGTAAAATCATATAATTAATTAAAGTTATGTATGCCACGAATTACTGAATGCTTCAATCATTCTAGGCATGTAAGAATTTAAAAGAAAAGAAAAATGAAAAATCATGCGTTCGTGAGTAACCTGAACGATGGAGACATTTATTTGGTGGACAATAGAACAACACACACAATTTTTCGAGATCAAAAATATTTCTTGAGTTTGATATTGGCAAAGGCAAATATTAGCACAATTTCTGGTACTACCAAACTAATTGATGGCTGCGGAAGAGCTAAAAAAGGGATTGAGAAGAGGAAATGGAGAAAATTTGGGAAAATTGGGGAAATTATACATGCATCGGGGAAGATGGCAAGAAGAGGAATGAAATAAGGAAGAAGATTGTTGGAAGAGGAAGGGAGATAATGAATTAGGGAAAATTAGGCTAAAATATGTTTTTTTTTACTTGAAAAGACAAAAAAAAAACCCCTCGAAATCGCATGTGTCCAATTCCGGTCATTTTGGCTTGAAAATGGGCAACGTGGCACATCTTATTGAGTTTGGATGGGATCAAAATTTTTTTTTAGGTGGTAATCAGCAAAAACGGACAAAGTTTAGGCGGTTTAATGCTATTTACCCTAATAAAAAAACATATGGGCATACTTTAAGAATCAGAAGATTCTTTTGTCCCATGAATGTATGTGCATTGCATGCTCACAAGGGAAATATAATTGATTATAAGACCATCTCCAATGAAAACTGGTAGCGATGCCCCAACATTTTTACAAAGATTTCAATGTGAACCATTTCACTATTTTATGGTTCTATTGGATGCATCATATAGATGGTCACATGTAAATCTGTTGTCAAAACATATGGTTGCTTTTGATAGACTTTTTGGTCAAATCATAAGATTAAGAGCTCAATTTCCTGATTCCTATTATGACTATTCGTCTTGATAATACCGTGAACTTTCATCTAAGCCTTTAACGATTATTGCATGTCAATTGGTATTGATATTGAACATTCACTTGCACATGTACGACTTAAAATGGACTTGCAAAGTTCTTTATTAAGAGATTGCAATTGATTGCTAGACCTTTGCTTTTACGGTCTAATTTACCCACTTCTGTTTGGGGACATGCAATATTACATGCTGTTTCATTGGTCCAGATTAGACCAAGTCATTTCAACAGCATTTATTGGTTGGAATACCTACACGCAAGTGCACATATTGTACAAGTAATATAACGGGTTTTTAAGTCCAAGTATCGATCCCACAAAGAATATTTAATTATCTAATCCTAGACGCTAAATTATATCAATTATTATCAAAGCCCACCCTACACAGTCGAAAGTTGATTAATAAAGCGAAATTGACTAAAACGATTTAAAAATAAATTAAACAAGCAAAAGTAAGAAAGCAATTAAACACGAAGATTAATTAGATAAAGCAAACCTAAGATTTTATTCTCCCCCCCTATGTGATTATTAATTCCCCAATTCCTTCAATTATGCAAGTTATTAATTCGGATTACTAACGTGAGATGCTAATTTAATGATACCCCACTTCCGCGTGTATTACGATTCTAATGTTCTAAATTAAATTATTGTATTCCTACGCAATTAGATCTAGAAAACAACATTAATCATAGATCTCAATAATGGCTACCTAAGAGGCTAACTATATTCTTATGATAGCATAACGAAGGTTCTGCTACCAAAGTTCTAATTATTAATCTGATCTTCCGATTCATGCGATTAACAATAACAGAAAAGCACATAAAATGGCCAGTTTTATGCACTTAATAAAATAAGTAGAAGAAATAATTTGGAATTAAAACTACATTATGTAAGTTTGTGAGAGGGCTATCTCAAACAAAATCTAATACAAAATACCTAATAGTTTTGATGATACAAGTGTAGTAATTGGAATTTTTTTTATTGAATTTTTAGAATTATTTTGAATATTAAAATTAGATTGGAAATCAAAATCTCATATGTAGATTATAATTCTGATAAAAAAAAAAGAAAAAAAGACGGACAAATATGAAATTTTGGAACGAATAACATTGAATAAGAAAATAAAATTAAATCGAAACCAACATAATTCGATTTTTTTGTTCCAATCTTTTGTTGAATCCTTCGGCTAGAGAGTGCAATATATTGCCAACCATCTATACTGATTACAATCCTAAAAAGATAGGATAAATTACAATCACCTCCCTGAAATAAAGTGTAATTACAAAAAGCCCATTTTCTTTGAGAAATTGCATTTAGTCCCTTGCAGTTTGTAAATTCTTACATGCATTCCTTATAAAATGGTGCTAATGCAAGGAATCTACAAATTACAGGAGTTGAATATAATTATGGAACATTGAGGAATTTTTTCGTAAATAGACTTTACCTCGGAGGGTTTTATGGGTTTACGGGTGTGTTTATCGGAACGATGTATAATATAAAGAAGGCTGATTCTTGGTTAGGTAATGTGTTGTTTAAGGTTGGGTTTCCGTACGTATGATGATTCGAAATATTTTGAAGCGGGGAAGTTTGTAAATGGGAAGCTTCACTAGATAAGTAATAAGCTTGGAATGAAATTGAAATTGGACATTGTTTGTTTCGAGTTTCGACAGAGTTTTGAAATTGTGGAACAAGCTAGATGTTTGGAGGGTTCTAAGTTTTGCCCGAGATTGGGAGTTTTAAAAGGATGTTTTGTGTGTGTTTTGATGATATGATATGATAAGATATTGAGTGAATTTGAGCTAGGTGCATGGAATGAAATTTTACTACGTATACAAATACATTTTCCCTTTTACTTTTATTTCAAATAAACCCACAAAAATATAAATTCTCTAAATAGCCCTACATATTTCTTTTTGAGATAAGCCCAACCTACCCATATCCCATCCCACCCGACCCGACCTGACCTGGTCTAACCCGACCTTTTCTTTTCCGTTATTATTATTATTATAATTCTTTTTTAATATCTTTGCGGCGGTGGCCTGGGTCATCGGAGACCCGGTTAACTGACCCAACATTAGTTAAATTCAAAATTAGTTAACTTTTCAATTTTTTTTCTTTTAATTTTTTTCCTGGTGGTGGGTCTTTGGAGCTCTGGTTAGCTGACTCAACATGAGTTAACTTCAACATTACATTCAGCTAATCGTAGCCTAAATATTCGTCGCTGAAAAAAAGAGTTTAAAGGAAAAATAAATAAAAAGTCGAATGTCAGCTAATGCGAACTCAACTAATGCATAGTTAGCTATAATTAGAGCTCAGGCATCCTGTTGCCGGAAAAATAAGAAATAGTTAAAAGAAAAAAAGTTGGACGTCGGCTGAAGTCAACTAATGCTTAACTAATCGAAGCTAAAACATTTTTACACAAAACGAGTACAAACTAGAGAACATCCCATGGAATCTAGAAGATTATGTTCAATTTGACACCATAAGGGCAACGTGTAATAAGATTCATAGTTGAGGGGGTGATTGTAATTACCCAAAAAGAGGTTTTTTGTAATTTAACCTTTCTTTAGGGGCTGGCCGTAATTTATGTTGGAAATTTTAAGTGTTTAGACTCAATTTTTGTTGATTATTTAAGTGGATTAAATATAGTTTCTCAAAATTAATTTTAATGAATGAGAAATTAATAAAATCACTTAATATAAAGTATGGAAAATAAAGAAGTGAAATGCCACCATTGGAAAAGATGGAGGTGTTTAAGCACATATTAAATGGAATAGGTGTGTAATTAATGAGAAAAAAGTGTGGTACATTTTCATGAAATTATTTTCCTAATGGTTGTGACTTGTGGTCATAACCTTTGAAAATCTATAAATAGATTCCAAAATCCACCATTTGAATCATTCATTTTTCACATGAAATTCAATACATTAATTGAATTCACTTCTTATCATAGCCTCTCATTGCATATTGTTGCAATTATAAAGTCCCATTTCTTCGTGTCTTATAAAGTCCTAAACGTCGTTTTGTTCGCCGTGTTCCAATAATTGTTGTGCTACTTTGTTGGAACTGAAATAGTTATTGTATCTTAGAGACAATTGTCGTAAACCGAAAGCACTGCACGGGGAAAATTTGTCTTAAGGAGAAAGGACCGAATTCTTGCATCGACTACTTCTTTTCGTGTCAAACTTTTGTCCAAATTTTGTTGGTTCCCATTTCGAAATACACACCCAAATAACAATTTACCCTTATCATATATTGAGGGAAGGGAATAGTGCAGCTCGTGAAATTGTTAAACTATCTACTTGGGGTCCTTGTAACTTTAATGTTTTTCCAGATATTATGAACCATATTGTTTATTTGTATCCTCTAAATTTCCAAGTTGAATGACATATTTATTTAACTTCTTAAAAAAAAGGGCATATTACAAATAAGCCCATCAGTGGGAACTTATTCATAAAGAGATCCAGACAATATTCTCCTTTACCAATAAGTCCACACATGGTCCAGATTTATGTAAAGGACTAAAATAACCCCTCTTACTTTTATATGCTCCAATTTCATCCTTAACTTAATTTAACTTCAATTTGACCCCAAATTTCACAAATTATTCAATTTTGACCCAAAACTTTTTTTTTTCACAAATTTTTTTTTTTCAAAAACTTTTTTTTTCTGCCGGATTCCGGCGTTGACTTTTTTTTTTTTTTTTTTTTTTTTTTTCTTCCGGATTTTTTTTTCCGGATTCCGGCGTTGACCGGCGGTCAACGCCGGTCTCCGGCGTTGACTTTTAATTTTTTTTTTTTTTTTTTTTTTTTCTTCGCGGATTTTTTTCCGG